AAGTCCAATATTCACTATTACTGACAAAAGTAGTTTTAAGATCTGACTAGTGATAAGGGCAAAGGAAAGAATTTCTCTGTGAGAAGTGGCAAGAAGATGAAATTAAGATAAAAGGCATAATTCTTAAGAGGAATTGAATCATTCACGAGTAAAGTAGGTCTATTTTCTACATTCATTTGCATATAAATGTTTTGTGTTAGTGGTAAGTGGTAAGTAATTTCATGCTGTTAGTGCACACAAATGTTTTCTCTGCCAAATAATAATGCTATTTCATCTGCTGCAATCTTCTAGCTTTACAGATTCATATATACAGTGTATAATAAATTCCTGTGCAGCCACAGCAGATTTAAATAACTAGCATGAAACCAGTACTGAAACCAGTATGCTGTACAAAGCAAAAGCTGTTTTGTTCTGGTTTTTAACCAAACTCTATTCTACTCAAATATAGATTCCCTGAAGAAGTATTTTGCAAATTCACAGGGACTTTACTAAGTTCTACAGTTAAGCAAAACTTTAAAGCATCCAAAAGTTATTTGTGAAGCTTTCTAAATATTTTTATCTTCCCAGAAAAAAATACTTCCCACTTTAAGGTCTCCTTTTAAAAAAAACTGAAAAAGTTCAAAATCAAACAAAACTACTTTGATCTTCATTCAAACAAAACGTATACGATACTTTGGAGAAGCAAAAAAAAAGGAAGATCCTCATGCGTCAAGGCACTGTGATGATGGGTCAGGCAAACTAGATCATTTTCTCTAAGGTGGAAGATGAAATCTTTGGCTGTGCAGTCTTCAGTCTTTGTATTCTCCAAACAACAAGGCAAATGGTAGTGTTTCTGGGAAAATATGATACCAAGGAGACATAAAATTTGGAGTCCATGGACACTCAGCAAAATACGGTCACACCCAGTTTTGACAAATGAAACACCATCTCCTGACAAACAGATGATGGAAAAAGAATTACGTGCATTTCTTTGTTTTCTGCAGCACAGTTAAGGTATTTCAGGAGCTACAAGAACTCCAGATGCACTCCAGATGCACTCCAAACCTTAAGACTGATACAGTGATCTCATGCTGTTATCTAAGCAATCTGTTCTTCGGTATGCATTCCTCTTTTCATAAGCATCACCTCCATTTTTGCTCAGTTTACTTTCTGTTGGCATTGTTCATTCACATCCAGTTCATGCAGCAATCAAAGAAACAAAGCTCGTCGCATTTTAAGTGTGGATCAAGATCTGCTACACTGTTGTTTGTTTACTGATGAAAAGTAAAATAGTCTTAGACTAGCTTCACTGCCACACACATACTGAAAAGGATCATGCTGAGGCTAGATCTGGGTGGTAATTTTTATAACTGATGAACAAGTGTATGTTTTATTACTTGAGAGGAGCCTGGAAAAAAAAAATATCGTGGTACCTAACTCAGCACAGTTTCTCCTGTATCTCTGAAGCTGGCCATGCAGCTTCTTAGTTTATGATTTTTCAACCAGTTTTGAGATGCCAATTATTTTTTGAGATTTTGTCAGTATGGATAAGCATGCATGTCCACATCAAGCAGGAATCTACCTGTTGTGCCACCAGGGTGATCTTGGTTTCATGTCCCAGTCTTAACAGCAAGGGAAGGACAAGGAACGTGCCTTGCTGGAAACAGAACAACTCTGCAGGCATACCTCCGTCATGGTATTTTCTCAAGGACTGATCGAAAACCATGCAACAAAGTCTTAGCACAATGAAATACCATCACAGACCTCACTACTTCTTTCTTTTAAGCACAGCAAACATTTCATTTATCTTGCCCTTTCTGACATACAGAGTTTATAGAACACAAAGTGCACTGAGGCAAGATAATCTATTGAACATGCTCAGACTGAAGGAGAGAGGGAAGAGACAAACCACATTAGTTACATTGCCTGCTCTCTCCTGGAGCACGTTCAGCTTCAGTGACGGTATGTGATATCTACACCCCCACCATCATCAGCAACCGTGACCTGTAACAGCAGTAGCAGCAGGGCAAAATCTTCACTCCTCCTTCTCTGAAGCACCACAGGAAAGGAAAGCTGTGAATCTCACCCTCAGGATGCTTGCCCTCCTGTCAAGAGCATGGTATGGCAGGGGGGCAGTCAAGAGAGACTCTACCAAGAGGGACAGCACAGGCCATGATTTGTTCTCTGATCAGCTAACAAACACAGGAGCATCCATTTGTTGCAAGTGCTTATGACAGGAGAGGAATACTATGAGAGACCACAGCCACCCACCCACCTTCTGCCAAAAATCAATAAAGAACATCCTTTAAATAGTGCTATCAATCATAACCAGCTCCCAACTATTATTGCAGCAAGCAGTTTGTCTACATAGCGCTGTTCAATAGCCTCCGCCTGGGTTAAGGAGGTCCCATGCTCTCTCAACACCAAGCAAATATGCTTGTTCAGGCTCTCTACTTCCTTCCAGAGAGAAAATGTTGCCCCATAAACTACAGGCATGCAACACAAGCAGCTGATTTGCCATCTGCCATGCCCACAGCTGACAGGGCAGAAACTGCAAGTAGAAGTTTATCCCCCAAAAATGCTGGTAGTGGGGGCAGGAAGAAAGCAGCTCCTAAAACACATTAGCTAGCAACACTGCAGAAGTGTTCCTCACTGATGGCATCTCTGTCTTGGAAACTCTCCCCTTCAGAGTAGGAGCACGAATGAACAGTGGGAGGTGGTTCTGTCCCCCTCAATTGTCCTCAATTCCAAAACCTTTTAGGTGGTCACTCACTAACTTGGAGAGAACGAGGAGCAGAATCAGAAGTTACAATCCTTTTGTTCTTTAATGATTAGTTTAAAATCAATCAGAGATTATGCTTCCAAGGCAAAATTGACATTACTATTCCTACCCCATCATGCCACCCATCTCCAGCATCCAAATAAATCTTAACTCAGTTGGATCATACACTTCTTACTCAAGCCAAATTCTATCATGAAACTTTGTCGAATTCCAGTGAAACAGAAAAAATAATTAGATAATTTTAATTAAAAAAACCTTGCACAGTGACTACCTGCACTAGCAGTTACCTTACGTTCATAGGCTTGAAGTTCTCCCAAAGAGTACAGTCAACATTATAGGCTAATCAGAAGAATGAGCAGGCACTAAACAGGACAAATACTTACTGATGTAATAAAAAAAGGAAAACCTGTAAGTATAGGACCAGCATAGCCAAAAGGATTGTCTCTGAATTAAATTTCCTCAGAGGTTTATCTGATTGGTGAACAATAAATTCAAATTAAGTCCACTAAAATCAATATAACAATCACATATTGTATCCCTGAGGAGCCATCAGGAGCCAACTGTGAGACTGCAAAAACCTCATCTTAAACTAGAAGCTGTGATCGGAACGCATGCTACTGCATTTCAGTCATGAAGTTTTCTTTAGGATGAACTCAGTAAAGCAGACAGCACTGTATGTGCAACAAGCACCAGGAACGTAGAGACTTGCTTCATGAATTAAGGGTGCAGTGTTAGCCTTCACTACAAACTCCTTATTTTATATTCAACTTAGCTCCATACAGTTTTGCCTAAGATAAGGCAGCTACAAAGACAAGTTATCTTTAGACAAACAAACATAACAGCTGTAATTACATACCTGGGAAAAAAAAGACATTTCAGCTAATAAACAAGGTTCTTTCTGTGAAAACAGGCTATTTTTGAAAGAGCCACAACCTGTCTCCCTCTGTGCCTGGAAAGAATGGTGATCAGTGTTCACCATAACTTAGATTTTGTCTCAGTGAATTAAAGTATTTACTTTCTTGTTTCCTTTTGCACCGCCTGATGAGAAGAGTACTTTGTGAATAACTCTCTTTATGTTCCCTTCTAGATCAGTAACAATTTTTTTGTTTTAGGACTGCATCCTTTCCATTATTTAAAAAATAAATAGATGAGTTAATTTTTTGCACTGAGCCACTTTGCAACGTTATTAGAACTACTACACTAAAGAAGAAAATTTACGATATGTTTAAAACCAAATGTCTTCCTGTATGGAAAAGCTTTTCTCCCCTTTTTAACTTTTTCTTTTGCATTTTTTTTTTTTTTCGCTCTCTTCTCTTTATTAGCCTTCATATCTATCTCCCAAAGATGCAACAACAGGATATTCAGAAAAGCTGCTGCACACTGAGAATCCACAGCTCTTCTGAAAAGCCTTTCAGCCTACCATCTTTGATTGCCTCTACTGGGATTCAGCTTTCTGCTTCTGAGGCTTAGAAAAGTAGTACACATTAAAAAGGCACAAAACACCACTTTCGGCAGTCAAGTACATCTTAGCAGGGCTGTTCACAATCCTTCCCACAGCGGAGAATGCAGACAGTGTGCCCAATCTATCACTAATCTTTACAAGCACACACAAAAAGTTTGTCAGAAGGGTGAAGTCAGCACCACACCCCTTACTGAGGGGATAATCCCAGTTTTGCATGACACGACCTGACTGAAAAGACCATTACTGAAATCCCTCTGTATTCTCCATCAAAGTTGTATGTATTATTTACACATAAGATAATTATTTCAGCATTTAATCCTTGCTACTGTGAAACACAAGCAGCTATGTTTCAGCAAGCTCAAATAATCATCTAAAACATAATTTTCATGAAAGTATCACTGAAAAATGACATGGTTAATATCAGGACATTTTGTTTGTAAAGGGCAACTGGCACTCAATTACTGCACTCACATATATAACTGTTTTACATTCCAAACCAAACCCAGTCTCGTCCTTTTGTGATTTCAGATAAGCTTTTCTTCTATAAAGACGAACATGCAAGCCTTAAATCTCTGATACCAATTTATTTAACAAGCACCATCCTATCAGTAGGTGTTGCTCTTTATCCTGCCTCTGGTTTAAAATGCTAAATTGTTCATACATTACATCTCATGAGTTTCTTGAACTACTTTGTCCTTAGGACTAGAAATTTGAATACACAAACTGTGAATACACAGACACTGTTCACTCCCCCCCTTTTTGCCCCAAGAAGTTTACCAATGCACAGAGTAAGTCTACTGCTTCCAAGATCAGCTCCTGATGGCCAATTCGTGTGACTCCGAGATCCTCCAGTTCTTGATGAGTAATGCGTAGTAGCTGGTCACCACTAATCTTCTCTCTCTCAAAGTTCTTTATATATTGTTGCAGGCAATCATCAAGACCTGCAGAAACAGGATGGAAGAGGGAAGACTAAAGTTAGCAACATTTTGTACTACCACAGGAATTCAAAATGGGCTGGGGGTGGGGTGGGGGGGGAGAAATAAAAAAGCAAGCCAACGGAGGATATTTGCCCTGTCTTTAAGACAAATATTTCAACATTACACATTTTATGCTATCCAGAAATCACAAGATTTGGAGAGCTATGGCTTTGCCACCTGTGGACGATACCAATCGCTTCTGAACCTTGAACAGAGCCCGAAATTCTTGTAGTATACTGTGTCATGGATGTCTATCTGGTAGCCCCCGTGCAGCTTATCGACAGATGCTGTTAATTATTACAGCATTGTAAGAGACTGGAAATGAGGGAAAGCATTTGTGCAGGAGACAAATCCTAAGGGAATAATGGGAGTGCGAGTGTGCCTAATGCCATGCATCCAGAAGTGACTAGTTATCAGTGCCCCTTTGTCATGATAGGTGGTACGATGAGGAGGGGCTGCTGGAGATGCCCTCAGCTAGGGACACATCTCTTCACGGGACACTTGACTGCAGTGCCACACAAAAGAGCAGTACCCAACAAATCAGCAGTGCCACATCATAGCGTCTCTCCTACCCCAAGACCGTTCACATGCTGCTGAGCCACCTGAAAGTTCACAGACTGTGCCAGCACCAAACACACAAGCTGCAAAGATCTCTGGAGAACAAGGCAGGCAGCAGCACTGGGAATGCGTAAGCTGGGCCCCAACTGCAGCAGCAGATCCAGCTCAGTGTTACCTCAGTTCAGAAAATGCATGGAGTCACGCACGGCACACAAATGCATGAAAAGCCACTCAAAGCAAGACGTGGGTGCACAGCCCAGAACAGGGTAATCACGGAGCAGAAACAGGCCCGTTGTGCCAAAAAGGATCCCAGAAGCGCATACAACATGTTTGCTCAGGACGCAGACGAGCACAGGGTTCTACAGGACCAGGTTCTGCTTTGGGGGCCATCCCTATTCTAGCTGTTCAGTCTGAGTGTCAGTCTAACGGCATTCAGGTGACTACAGGCTTTTGCCTGGATCAGACAGTCCTGCAGAACAGGAGATAAACCATCATGCATCCCTTCCCCATCAACGTTCGCCTAAGAGGGCCAGACCACTAAGGGGAAGCTCTGCAGCGTGTGCATCCCTGTGCCTAGGGGATAAGGAAGACTCTTGGGTGTTTGGTGGTCCAACTAAAATTTGTGTCCGAATACCTTCCAATGGATCAACGTGATTGATACCGAGCAGAAGGATTTGACAAAAACCTGAATGCATTAATTTAGCAGCTTCTTGAGTGAGACCACCTTTCTGATGGTTGTCTTCAAACAATCCCAGCCAGCACGTATCTCTCTCCCAAATGTTCACGACATCTGCTCATTAGGTTGCAAGGAAGTGAGAACGTTTTTACTTGCTAATCAAAATGTCTGGAAAACCTGAAGATACACGGAGGAGAAAAGATCAGTCTGACTGCTGAGCCCAGCTTGACTCACAAGAGCCTCAGCTTAAAGCATAAAGCTTCTCTGAAACTGGTTTTGTTGCATTTTTGGTTCTCATTCACCCCTTCTAGGGCATAGCCACACCTCCAAAGAGACTCACATAAGGAACATGTTGGCACTGCAGGCAGGGTTGCCGCAGTTCCAGGCCAGCCTGCCGTTCCCGGCTAGGTCCTTGGGCAAGCACCACCCACACTCTGTCCCTGCTATAACGTACCGGCACAATCTTCACATGGCTTTAACTTCTAAAATTCACACACCAAATCTAAACCACATGCAAACACACTGTAAATCAAATACGCCAGGCCCAAGACACAGGAAATTCTCCTTAGCAGGTCCCCAATTCCAGCAACCTCCAACCATGTCCTTCCAGAGCCTGCTGCCCGATCTCCTGCCTCCAAAACAAAGCCACTTAAAGGCCTAGATTAATCAGGCATCTGGAACTATGCCTTCCATTCATTTCCCTTTCTAATCAAATACATAGTTGCTCAAATCAGTCATATACTCTACCACAACATATTAGCAGAGAACAAAAATTGTGATCCAGGACTGATCATGTATCGCGTCTTGCCATGCAGCCTGGCGCTCAGATGTGCTTGACTTGCTTATGAGGAGCTAAAAATTGTTCCCTATTTCTCCAACAAAGAAAATACAAATGATTAAACTTTCAGTAAGAGCAATGATCTACTAAAGCTTTGTTATGGGTTTGCGTGGCAAGGTTTTGGTAGCAGAGGGGCTATAGGAGTCGCTTCTGTGAGAAGCAGTGCCCAGCCGGCTCTAAGACGGACTCGCCACTGGTCAAGGCCAAGCCCATCAGCGACGATGGTAGCGCCTCTGGGATAACATAGTTAAGAGGGGAAGAGAAAACTCTGGGGTGAAACGGCAGTGAGGAGAGAGGAGCGACACTACGTGAGAGAAACAACTCTGCAGACACCAAGGTCAGTGAAGAAGGAGGGGGGAGAAGGTGCCCGAAATGTCAGAGCAGAGAGCCTTCCCTTGCAGCTCGTGATGAAGACCATGGTGAGGCAGGTTGTTCCCCTGCAGTCCATGGAGGTCCATGGTGGAGCAGATATCCACCTGCAGCCCGTGGAAGGGACCTCACGCTGGAGCAGGTGGATGCCCAAAGGAAGCTGTGACCCCGTGGGGAGCCCGCGCTGGACCAGACTCCTGCCAGGACCTGTGGACCTGTGGAGAGAGGAGCCCACGCCAGAGCAGGTTTGCTGCCAGGGCTTGTGACCCCGTGGGGACCCATGCTGGAGCAGCCTGTTCCTGAAGGACTGCACCCTGTGGGAAGGGACCCACGCTGGGGCAGTTCGGGAAGAGCTGCAGCCCATGGGAAGGACTCATGTTGGAGACGTTTGTGGAGAACTGCCTCCTGTGAGAGGGACCCCACGCTGGAGCAGGGGCAGAGTGTGAGGAGTCCTCCCCCTGAGGGACAAGGAGCAGCAGAGACAACATGTGATGAACTGACCGTAACCCCCATTCCCTGTCCCCCTGCGCTGCTGGTGGGGAGGAGGGAGAGAAACAGGAGTGAAGCTGAGCCTGGGAAGAAGGGAGGGTTGGGGGGAAGGTGTTTTAAGATCTGGTTTTATTTCTCACTATCCTGCTCTGATTTGATTGGTGATGAATTAAACTCCCTTTTCTCCCCAAGTTCAGTCTGTGACAGTAAATGGTGAGTGATCTCTCCCTATCTTTGTCTCAACCCTCGAGCCTTTCATCACATTTCCTCTCCCCTGTCCAGCTGAGGAGGGGGAGTGATAGAGCGGTTTTGGTAGGCACCCAGCATTTATCCAGGCCAAAAACTCCTAAGTTTTCTTCCCCTACAGTAGGGGAAACTGAATTGCCAGAACCACCAAGACTCATCCATAAAACGACTTGGTTGCCACAAACGCGGAAGAGAGAAACAGCCTCTAAGGTTAAAACACCACAGCCTGCTGCTTTGTGGGGTGTCCCACTGTATTTTTGATACTTTTTTTCTCCTTTGTACTCAAATAATGAAGACTCTTGTCTTTGGCCTTAGAGCTGCTTGTTAATCAAAAGTATTGTTTTACTGTAAAACAACACAATACATGCACAGTCAGTGGGATGCACAAGCTGAAGATCTCAGTTTCTCTTTCTTAGACACCATTGCTTCAGAACATGCCAAAGAGCACGAGTCCTGCGTACTCCCAAGGCATTTGAATGGGAGCCCTTACTTCACCCAAATGCTGCTGTTTCTCTGTTAAGTGCTAGGCAATGTTCGTCATTATTAGCAAACAGACAAGCAGCAATAAAAATCAGGTATTCTTTTCTGCATGACATCTGAAAGAAAGGCTATTTACCAAGTTCCAGATCTACAAGAACTCATTTAGACATTAAATTGAAGTTGCAAAAGTTTCCCCAAGTCTTGAATTCACTTTACTTGTTCACACACATGATACCATTATCTTGAATTATCTGACGTAAGACTTCTCGATTTATCCATGTTTGTACGTATTTTCTCCAAAAGCCCTTTTTAGCCCAAGTTCTCCATCTGCTTTATTAATTGCATGAACTGTTTTAAAAGCACAGTCTCATGTATAATGGCATTTATTTTTTGAAAGAAATAGAATATTCTTGACAATACATAAAACACTTCACCTAAAAACATATTAAAAATAGGCCATAGATGAGCTCTTGCAAAATGACTAAAAAAGAAAGGAGTAAGTACTTCTGATATTCCGGAACGTAAGTCCCACACTGCCTACATAGACTGATGAATGAGAATAACAACATTACAATACTCAACGTCATCAGGTATCAAAAAAATGAATTCCCAGCTAAGAGACTGGCAACACAAATCCGGAATAAGACATGACAGATGCACTTAATAAACACTTACTAACAGTTAATTCTAAATAAAGCCATTACTCTTCCTCTTCCTGCTATCTATGTATTTTTGTCATTCAGATGTAACATAGACTGATGCATATAGTTCATATAGGGTTAGAACAAAAATTAAGATAAGAAAAATATTACTGACAATTGCTTGACTCATCAATTTAGTACAAATGACAGCCTGGAAAGAACAAAATAATTTAACTGTAGATTGTGTGACATTTTCAGAATAGCTTGCCACAATTACTTCCCCTCACTGCCTAAATAAAATATCTTTTTAAGTCATTCTATTTCTTAATTAAACAGCAGCAATTCTTTTTGTAAACAAAACTGTGCACAGATAGGAAATAATAATAATAATAATACAAAAAGGCCACCCGCATTTGACCCCAGAGCCACAGCAGACAGCCCAGTTTGCCAGCAGCCGGCCAGCCGCTGCTGCGGACAGGACGAGATGTACCAAAAAACCATCAGGTGCCTGGGTCCCATGGAGACACCCTGGAAGCTAACAGAGAAAGCACAGCTTTCTTAAGAGCACCCTGTCTTTCACTATATTCCTGAAGTCCAGGATCCACCCAGCCTCAATGTAGTAACAAGTTTTTTCAGCTGGCACTGTCTGCTCCTCTTCTACCCCCAG